AATGGTAGAACAGAGGAACTGTGGATAAATTCAATGAAAATTGGAGTTCTATTATTTAGTTAGCAATGGAAAATTTCTTGGATTCTATACAAACAATTCACCATGATTGACAACAGAAAAGTTTACGGTCCCTTTGGAAATTGAAGAAACTTAGATGCATGTGGAATGAATAATACTTAACTACTCACCGGTGAGTAGTTTTACCTTACTCACCCCTCATGTGTTCCAATAACTGCATACCACATCAGTTTTAATAAAAATGTTATTTAATGGTTGATCCGAGAAAATACAGGAGAACATGTATTATTTGGTTATTGAAGCTGGTGTGGTATGTTATTATTGGAACACATGAGGGGTGAGTAGGGTGAAACTACTCACTGATGAGTAATTAAGTATTATCCATATGGAATAGGCTGTATTTTTTGTTGGTACACTTTAATAATGAACGGTGAGAAAAACTTACAATTTATTTTAATAATAGAAAAATTAAAAATTTTAAGAAAAATTATGACTGGGGCGTTGTGGGCTCTTTCTCTATATAATTGTGATGTCTTAACCACGCAAGGACAAAATCCATACTTCTTTGTTATCTGGAGGCACAGTGCTGAATCGGTGGTGACGTTGTGGTTTTGAATTATAGATTCCCTTCCCTCTGTTTTTTTTGGAACAAATGGAGAGAAGGAAAATGTTTAGTCTTTGTTTTAGGTAAAGTAAGACATTTTAGTCATTTTACGGGAAAAAATAGTCTTTTCATGGACTTTTTATTATTATGACAGGATGTGAGTGTTATTCAGGCCAGAAAGTAGGTCAATGTTAATTTTAAAATCAAAAGGGTAGGTTTTATTATTTAAACATTCTTTAAACAAAGTAAATCTAATTATTTTATTTATTTATTTATTACTATGTGTGAATTTATTATTTGTGGGTGGCAAATCTCCACAACTTTCCCTTTATTTTTTTAGGCTTGGTTTCCTCCTGTCTTTTTTTTTTTTTTTTTTTTTTTTAACTCAAAATTAAACTTAAAAGTGGAAATTGACTTGATGTGACATGCAACTTTAAAAATTAAAATATAAAATAAAAACCTCTGCTCCAGCAAGAATCGACGACTTGCGAAAAAGAAGTTTTGAATTGTGCATCAAGAAAGAAACAATGACTAGGGAATGGAGAAAAGTTTTAGATTTTTGTCAAGGTAACGGAAAGTTCCTTAGAGTCGCATATTCACCCATGTGAGAAAATAAAGTTGTCGTCTAGAAAGAAAGAACCGATCGAGAAGCAAGAAGGCGCTACCAGAACTAACAAAATTATTGGACTAAATCTACGATTTAATAAAAAAATTTAAAGTATACTAAATTTACGTGGTATAATAAAAAAAATTTGATTGTCCAATAATACACTCGTGAAAATGAATGGTAGGATGACTAACAGGTTAGTAACTTAAAATTCTAGATTCTCAATTTAAATATAAATTAGGGATTCAAGTCTCAAAAAAAATATGTTCTAATGCACTTGGTAAGGTCCACTGGACATAACAAATTAAAATTTTCTCTTTTAGTGCTATTTTCTTAAATTTTGAAATAAAAAAATAAAACAGAAGGCATACCAAACCGCCTTAACTTGTTTCACAAGTTTTTTAATCACTGCTTATTATAACGTAAGAATTTATCATTTCCAGAATGTTGACGAAGAAAATTAAACCAGAAGGAAAGTTTTGTCTTCCCGAACCAAACTCCCTCTTTCCTGTTTCCTTCTTCCTCTGCTCAGTTTCTATATAACCGTAACCACCCCTCCTGTCTCTCCCCAACACAGAGAGAGAAAACTTTTAGAGAGAGAAACTGAGTGATAGCAAAATGCACAAGACTGGTTCATCATCGTCTCTGGGTCCAGGAGGTCTCGACATTGCCCGAGCCTTCTTTACCCCAATCGACAAAACAGCTCCACCCTCACCCACCAAGCGCCACACTAAGATAGCCGTCATCGGCACCGGCAATGTCGGTATGGCCATAGCCCAGACCATCCTCACCCAGGACTTGGCCGACGAGCTCGCCCTCGTCGACGCACTTCCCGACAAGCTCCGCGGCGAGATGCTCGATCTCCAGCACGCCGCCGCGTTCCTCCCACGGACAAGGATCCTCGCGTCCGTCGACTACTCGGTCACCGCCGGATCGGACCTCTGTATCGTCACCGCCGGCGCGCGTCAGATCGCCGGCGAGTCGAGGTTGAATCTGATACAGAGGAACCTTGCTCTGTTCTCGAAAATCATCCCGCAGCTCACGAAGTACTCCCCGGACACGATCTTGTTGATCGTGTCCAATCCGGTGGACGTGCTGACTTATGTTGCATGGAAGCTTTCCGGGTTCCCGCCGAATCGGGTGATTGGGTCGGGTACCAACCTGGACTCGTCCCGGTTTCGGTTTCTGCTTGCGGATCATCTTGATGTCAATGCTCAAGATGTGCAGGTAACAATTTCATTTCAAGGACTGATATGTCTGTATGTGTTTTTATGTGTCAGTTACCTAATTGTTCTTATTCTCTATTCTTTTGACAATGGTAAAACCAGGCATTCATTGTGGGTGAGCACGGTGACAGCTCGGTGGCACTGTGGTCGAGCATAAGCATTGGAGGAGTGCCGGTGCTGAGCTTCTTGGACAGGCAGCAAATCCCATACGAGGAGGAAAAACTAGAGAACATTCGCAAAGAAGTTGTACAGAGTGCCTATGAAGTGATCAACCTCAAAGGTTACACGTCCTGGGCAATCGGGTACTCGGTGGCTAACCTGGCTCGGAGCATTCTGAGGGACCAGAGGAAGATCCACCCGGTGTCGGTGCTTGCAAAGGGGTTCTATGGCATCCATGGCGGCGATGTGTTCCTGAGCCTGCCGGCACAGATTGGTAGGAATGGGGTTTTGGGTGTCACCAACATACATCTTACTGAGCTGGAGGCACAGAGGCTTAGGGACTCCGCTAAGACTATCCTGGAGGTGCAAAGCCAGCTGGGGCTGTGAAGGGCAGCGGATGATTTGGTTTAAAATTATGCATATATATATATATATATTCATTTGTCATGTTTGGAGTAAGATGGTTTCTTATAATTTTCAATTACTGAGTCGATACTTTATGTAATCATTTAAATAACCTAGTCATTTGTTACAGAGCTGTAAAAAGAAATGTTACTATATTAAATAATTAATTTATAGTCCACGAGTAGCATCAAATTTTCTCTTGCGGTTATCTTTGGGTTGTGAGTTTATTTGAGAGTAATATATCATTGTGACCAAGATTATATGATAAAACGAGATTCGTTGTCATGGTCAAGGGGCTTATTATGTGACATAGATTTTTCATTGAGCAGAAATTCCAACTTGGTGGCTAATGAGTTTGCAGCTCTAGATGCTTTGGCGGGGAGTGGTCTAGTAATTAGGTTACAGACCAGTCAACCTTATGTTTCAATGTATTTAATCTTTTGTTTGTCGGGTTAAAAAAAACAAAAAAAAAAGACATTGGGCCATGTTACATATATATATATAAATTTACTCTGGCTAAAAAAAAATAGTGAAACGACATTTACAAAGCGAAACATCCATGCACACACAAATCACTCAAACAAACAACCACAAACACTAAAAACATTGGGCCATGTTATGTTATAACCAGCAAGACATATTTTCTTGCGAGTGAAGTTATTAACAAGTTGATTGAAGTCTGAAAAGAAGTGATGGATGTTTTTAGTCTTTTAATACACACTGAAATCTCAAACATGTAATACTTTTCTAATGAACTTCGATGAGTCTATCGTGTTAAATGGTGAGAAATAAAATTAGTCTACAGGCCTGCTTGGTTTGTGATTCAGATATAAGGTTAGAAGTTTTTAACCAAATATGCAAGTTTAATGCGTTATAGGCAAAGAATGATGGCGGGAAAATATCTATCACGACGTAAAAAATAAAGTGTCCTGTAATCTTTAAAAGTATCTTGAATTTGAACGATCTCATTTGCTTTTTTGTAAATCATTTTCAATGTAAATTGTAAAAGTTAATGATCTTGAATATTAAGAATTGCAAGGAACTTAACAAGTGACCACTCGATAAAAAATAGGTTGGACTTGGTTCTACTGTTCTAGGTTGAGTTTCATATGGGCTCTGGTTGGCTATTATTTTGGGCTTTTTAGTGCTGTTAGTGGCCTTGTTTTTCTGTGGGCTTACTTCAGACCAATTTTAATTTATTTATTTATTTATATCGTTGCTCTGGATGCTCTTGGAATGGAATTTTATTCAATTTCAAAGCACATCAAATCTGAACAATGTAAATTTATGAAAAATCCACTTTGTTGTTATGGAATTTGAAATCTAGGTATTTCAAAGTGAATGAGGCGAAAATATCACTAGAGTATAGCTCTTGATATTGAAAAGTATACTCAAATTTTCAAAAAACATGGTTGGAATTATTTGCCATGACAAAAGAAAAAAAAATATGTAAAACTTATTTTGTGGTGAGAAAAACCAGAATTCAAAGGAGCCAATATATTAAAAATGGCATTTTCCTTTCGACTTTAGAGAAAAAAAAAGATTATTATTATTACTTTTCCTTTAAAACTTAAAAAAAAGTAAGTGGACACTAAGACGGAAGGAGTTAAGGACCGGGAGAAAACGTGCCCCTGGATTTTCTCCCTTTCTTATATATTTTATAATAATATATATAATATTTTTTATAAAAATATGAAAAATGCCCCTGTAAACATTAATTTATATGCATTTACATTATATTATAAATATATATTATGATATACAATACGCTAATGTGCCCCTTTGAATTCTGCTTCAAAGAAAGTGTGAATTTTCCTTTTTTACTTGACAATCTGAGTAATACTGTAGTAAATAAATGGGGTGTGTAATTTTTATCTTGTTTCGTCAGGGTCCCAGGGAAGGGAAAAAAAAAATTAAATAAATAAAAAGGCGTGTAATTACTACTTTACCCAGAGAGTCATCAGCCAGTTCTGTTCACTGGGCTTTAGTTAAAATTTCATTAGCAAAGTCGAGAACAAAAGAAGAGTCTGGTTTTCAATTGGAAGCTGTGATCGGAAAAATGGCAGGACGGTTAAGCCACGTAGCGTCTCAGATTATGGGCGGAAACAGCGTCGTTTCTCGCTCCGTTGCCTCCTCTCTTCGCCTCCGCTCTGGCATGGGCCTCCCCGTCGGCAAACACATCGTCCCCGACAAACCCGTAAGCCTGCTCCCTTCTCTTAAACTCTAATATCAAACATCGATCTCTCTCTATATATATACACACTGTATTGAATTTTAGAATTCTGTTATTTGTTCTTTTAATTTAATACTGCATTTGTAACCAAGAAATGAAACCCTAGAAACATTTTACTAGTTTACATTAATTTTTTTTTTTTATGTTGCTTCAGCTTTCGGTAAATGACGAGCTGATGTGGGACAATGGGACCGCATTTCCGGAACCCTGTATAGATCGTATCGCCGAGACAGTCGGAAAGGTGAGCTTCTTCGTTTTCTGATCATCTCTAGAAATCTAAAGACTTTTTTTTTGGTGAATTGAATCATGGTTTTTATGTTTCACATCTTTCTTGTTTAATTTACTAATTTATGCATGCATTTGTCTTTCAGTATGAAGCTTTGGCTTGGCTGTGTGGAGGTTTGAGCTTTTTCGCCTCTCTTGGCCTGATGGCTGTGTGGAATGACAAAGCCTCCAAGATACCATTTGTAAGCTAGAAATTTCACCCCTAATTTGATTTTTTTTCAATTCTTGTGAATAACGTTAATTTTGTTGGCATGATTATTATATGACCCTCTTATGTGGTATAATTAGGCTAATTAAGCTGAGTGTTTTATTTATTTATTTATTGATTTTCTAAAGGCTCCAATTTGGGCATGATTTCAATCAATTGATGCTTATGCTTAACTGGAAAATCTTGAACTCTCCCAATGAAAAAGAACGAAACTTGATCAACTGTTTGCACTTTTTTTGTTGGACCAACTACTCTCGAGTTGGGTCATTAGGAATTTGAAATATTTGGAGTAGCATAAATAACTAGGTTTGCAACCACTTGTTGCACTTCTAGTGTTATATTGGAAGGTAATTCTCCATTTTCTACATACTATGAAGTTGCATTTGGTTTTAAGAATGGGAAGTGAACAGATTTGGTTTAAAAGGAGTTTAACTTCCCAGCTGTAAAGGGGTTCATGATTCATGTTTTACCTTATACTTCGTGGCCATAGCTTCAGACTTCAGTCAACCATCTACCACACAGGGATGGTATTTGGCGACCCCCTATAAATAGTGAGTTTCAAAAAAAGATCTAATATTTGGTCCCCAAAATCTTATAAAAAACCTCAACATGTATCCTTTTAGGGCTTAGCTTTGGAAGTACACTTTTTAAAAGAAAGGTCAAAAATTCGAAATATGATCCTTACTAATCTTCTTCATTTTATGCGCCTAGTGAGTTATACAATATTTTTACTTTATAAAGAATCTTTATACATCCACTTTCCAATCTATTGTAAAGACAAATTTCACACTATAAAATTTTTAATTTTATTTTCACACACTAATTTAGTGCCCAAGTTAAAATTCCTCGGTCCACCCTTGATGACTACACATATTTTCTTACGATCTTAATCCATGCCACTTTTTATCTTCACCATCATCTTACATTACCTTCAATGTTGATTGTAATGTTGTGGCCCGAATTTGGTTCCAGCCTGGTTCCCGCTGCATTTAGGGTTTGGAGGGATAACGAGAGAACATTGAAAATTGCAGGAAAGAGAGAGAGAGAGAGTGCGCTAGGGTTTGGGGGTTGAAACTTGTAATCTCTTATTTTTTGTCTGCTAAAATCTTTTACCAGATCTTCACTGTGGAGTAGGCTTACGCCGAACCACGTAAATCTTTGTTGTGATGAAAACTTTATAAATCAATTGTAATAAATTTTCATTATAATATTAGTCTTAGTATATATATAGAGGAAATATAATCTAAAAAATGACAAAAATGAAACCTAAATAATAGAGATGAAAAATTATATGAAAAAAAAACATAGAGAAGAGGAAAAAATAAATTAAATTAAAAGAGAAGTGGTAAAAAAAAAAAAGAGTTAAATGATTAAATTTATTTGATTAAATGTTATATATGTTCGTATCATGTTTATAAGTCAATTTAGTTTTATTTACAAAATAACTTTTTTTGGGGGGGGGGGGTGTTGGGCGGGGGGGTATAAACAAGAATTTGTAAATTTTTCCCCCACCCTGTCCGTCTCTCTCCGCCCCTATTAGTTGCACATGGGCCTACCATCTTTAGTGTAATCAATTTTATTTTCATTCTTTCTTATTTTATTGCATGCTCTTTCAAAATCTGCATTTTTTTGATGACACTCAATTTAAACACATGTTCCTTAACCATCCATCATCTATTCAACACTGTATGACTAGTTAAATAACCCCTTTATAGAACTTGCATTTCATTTCAGAGGTCAATGTTGGTAACAGGATATACATAATCAATACTCCATTTAACCCATCTATGAGTAATACATCTCCAGTCTATCATTTTATGTGAAATTTCTATTTTGGGTAATGGACGTATTAGCTTTATGGTATTTTGTTACTGTCAATCTTCACTGAATTACTCATCTATATTTTTAGTTTTGCGAAAGTTACATTCTATATATTTAGTTGTACTCTTATTTGGATGACATTCTATATATCTAGTTGTTCTCTTACTTATTTGATGTCCTCATCTCATCACCAAGTTTCTTTAGATAATGACCCTTTCCTATTTGACTTTCTTTCAATACATTCGACCATCTTATTTTATTATCAAATTAGTTTAATTGTTTGATTTCGTGTTGCTTTCTTTAGCATCTTATTTGAATTTTTTTTTTTCCTGTCCCACTCACTGCCATTTTAAATTTCACCTAGTTCTCGAGCTACCAATTTCATTTCTTTTCCTTTTCCCATGCGGCCATGCTAGTCGATGTACTTTGAAAAATTATTCTTGTTTAAGCATTCTTATATGTTCATCTCTTTTTAAAATGTGTGTATTTGTAAGATTATATCCGCTGCTAAGTCTAGGATAGCCTCTTTAGTGTCGTTTCTGTCTACAAGTCATTGTCCGCCACATGCAATCCCATACCTCCACCATTTTCCTAATATAATTAATTTATATCTTTCAGGTAATTCTTGAATTAAATTCATCTATATGCCTTAAAAATTGCGCTTTAAAAATGGTAGTCTGTACATAATGAGTGCATATGCTCAATTATATTAACTATATTTTTTCTCAACGCAAATTTCATTCAAGATTGGTGCAATGACCAAGAACCCAAAAGTTATTAGAATTACACCAGTCTTGAATGTGTTCTATTCTATGTTCTTTAACAACATATTTGGTTGCATAAGAATGTAGACCATTTTAATGTATAAAGATTAAATCTTTGAAAGAAAATGAGAGTTTTGAGTTAAACTTATTCGAGTTCCCTTAGACATCACGAAGGCTTAGCTAGCCCTTGCTAGAACATTCTAACAAGCTATTTGCTTGCCCATTTTGGGTAAGATATCAAGATGAAACCATATATTGCCTTTTTGAGACACGGCTGAGAATTGAATTGATAAGTTCTCCTGCACCTTCATTTTCTCTGATAATAATTTTACCATCCACATTTAAAAATACCACCTGAACAATATACATATATATATTGCTGTAGTGTTACTAAATTGAAACTTTGAATGCACAAAAGACAATATATCACAAATTCTGTGCTACCATTTTGTGGAGCTTATTTCAGAGACTACAATGATGGAATGATCCCATTGGTTATCACACATGGTCTGAAGAGTCTTTGAAATGACGTATTTAATTTTTTCTCCTCTCTAGTCTCTACCAGTCTTGAGACCTTGACCTGTGGATTGGAAGTTAAGACCCAAAGCCACCAGAGGTCCAAGACAATGGTAGACCGGTGAATGAAATTGCTATAGCTATAGATATTTGCAAGCAGCAATAGGGGCGATGTGTGCTAATTCTCATCCACATTTAGAACTGCTGCATGAACATTACATACTTTTCTTTAGCTTAAATTTTACTAAAATTGAAACTTTGAACTGACAGAAGATGATATCACAAAGTCTACACTACCGCTCCTGTGGAGCTTATTTCAGACTCTACAATGAATCCCATCAATTAAAATATGTGGTTATAAAAGTAATTGGAATGAAGTTGTGATAGTTTTAGATATTTGCAAGCTGCGATAGGTTGATGTGTTCTAACTCACACTACATTAGCAAAATGTTAAAATGAATATTTGTTATCCATCCCATCATGTAAATTCTCGAACCCTGAATTTATATTTATACTTGTCAATTGGGTAACGTCATTCTCTTTTTAAATATTCAGTTGTAAAACGTTTGCAAATGTGTGGCTAAATGTTTTTGGTTTTAGCATCAGCTTCAAACTTTATCTTCCTTTGTACCTGCAATCTACTCTTTCAGGCTGATTATCATTCCTGATTTTCTTTTGTTTCATCGTACCAACTCTTTTATGTTCTTATTTTCACTCTTTACAACAAAACAACTTTTCCTCAGCTCCCTATTGGGCGTTTAATCAAATACTCTAGGTTCTTAGGCTTTTACGCCTGCTGAACTAAAGATTATTATTATTACTTTTTTTACCTTCCAAAAAAAAGGTTCCCAAGTCCTGTTCTCATTTTGATATGATCAGGAGTTGCCAATTACTATTGGGCGTTTAATCAAACACTCTAGTTCTTAGGCTTGCCCAATAGTAATTGGCACCTCTTGATCATATCAAAATTTGGGAATTCTAATGTATCCAGGTTGTCATACTCTAGATATGTTTAGATAAATCTGGAATTGGGCTGGGAATGAGGAATGCTTCAAAGGTGTGATGTGCTACAATGGAAATTAAGAAATTAGCAACTGAGATTAATTTGTATGTGATGATTGAACTGGTGGTTTTTGTTTAAAGGAAGATATGTAGATGTGGGTTAAACCATTGGTGAATTTGTGTTAAATGAACTTTGGCATGTGTTGAAGGTGCAGATTGGATTGTTTAATTGCCAAATTAAGTAGGGACACGACTAGGTTCTTACTGGTGTCCAGTTTTTCTTCCTCTATATGTTGGGGGTAAAATAAAATGCCTATTACAAATATCATATTTCCAAAATGTGCATTATATATATATATTTATCTTTTCAAATATCCTAGTAATGTGGGCAATTGCTTGATGCAATAGTGATGTATCAGATTATGAAGCGTGAGAATGTAGGTTCCAGTACAAGAACAGACATTTCCTGCATAAAAATGACAAATGTTACTGTTTATATCCAGTTTATCCATTCCAATACCCTATATGGGCAGGACAACATTTTTTAATAACATTTCAAATATTCATATTTAACGAAGCAGTAGACTGATAAAAGCAAAATGTGTTCCTTCTTCTGTTCGCAGAATGTACCTTGTTGCGTATGTGCTGATCATACAATTTTTGCCTACTCTCTCAGCTTGCTTGGCTTTTTAAGCAATATGAGGTGTCCATGCTTGATGTAACTTGGTAGTTGGTACTAGACTACTAGTAATATTGACTAAGCATTGGATGATAAATTGTGATATACAAGATTCTTGTTAAGTAGTATATACACAAAGATCACAAAGAAATTGGGATTGGATGGGACACTAATGCTGTGTTTGGTGGGAGGGAAGGAAGAGTGTGGGAGGAAAGAGAGGAGGGACGGGCAAGTTTCCATCATTTGGTACAAGGGTAAGTTGGAGGAAAATGAAGGATGGATGGATGAGACACCCTTCTTGCCTTCTTGGTCCACCATTTTTAATCCCTCTAGAAGTGAACCGAAGAGGGGAGCAAAGACAATGATAAGTATGGTATATTATTTTTAGTGACGATATTAGTTATTACCCCTCAACAATTATTTTAAATTATATAGTGAGGGTATAGTGGTAAAAGAAAATATAAAACACCTCCTTCCCTTCCCTCTTAACAAACAATGGAAAGTGTTACCTCATTCTACTTCCTTCCACTCAACAAAACAAAAAGAGAGGACACATTCCCTCCCTTACGTTGTCTCATCCATCCTTCCTATCTTCCTTTCCTCCCATTTTTCCGTCCCTACCAAACAAAGCATAAATGTTTCAATGTACTAAAAGAACAAAATAATTTTTTTCTTCAATATTCACGAGTATCTTCAGTTATTTGTTACTGTTTGTTGTTTCTAGTTGATCTAAGATTTTCTGGAGCACTGGATTTCTATTCTTTTGAAGAATCCAAGTACTTTTTTCTTCAATGTTCTTTGAAAGTAGACAAAACATGTTCATATATCCAGAAACTGATTTGTTAGGGTCTGCATTCAATTCTTCTTCATGCTAGTGCTACTTGTCTTTATACACCAGCTGATGTATATCATTACCATGAGACATATCTTGATCATTGAAGGAAGTGGTCAGGGGCGGCTCAATATAATTTGAGGCCTTAGGCGAAAGATATAAAAGTGGCATTTTAATATATAATATATATATAGTCAATCTAGTTAATCTTTCTTGTCACATAATTGATCTTAGAGTTATACAACTTATACTTAATGAAAAATGAGGAAAAATATGTCAGAAATAAGAAGCGAAAAAAAAAAAAAAAAAAAAAAAAAAAAAAAAAAAAAAAAGAGAAAAAATATGGAAAGTTTTACAAATTTTGGGAAAAAAAAAAAAAAAACGTGAACGAGGATCTGAGAGAGAAAAAAAAAGGTGAGATAAAGATAAAAGTCTTTTGGCCCCCATTAAATCTCTATTGGTTAGGGTCTAATAATCGATACAAATAAAATTTTTAATGAGGTTATAATATAAGGGGAAAAAAAAAAAAATTTGAGGCTTTCCTATTGGCTGGGGCCTTAGGCAATCGCCTAAGTTGCCTAAGGGTCCAGCCGCCCTTGAGTGGTGCATGCTTGAGGAACTCCAAGATATGGATATAACCTTTCACAGACTTTGCTTTCACAGACTTCGTGTAGCAGCCTATAAATGTAGATTGGAGTGGATACCAATAGGAGCCCTGTTCATTTTAATGAAGTGAATAACAATAGGAACTAGGATAATTTTATCTAGTTCTTAAAATCAATTTTTTTTTTTTTTTTTTTTTACTTTTTTTTCTTTTCTTTTCTTTTTATGTTATGTTATTTATTTTTATTTCTATGAAGAAGTTTTGAGAATTGAGATCATGTCAAACACATAGATGGTGGGGTTCAAAGAATATTAGTGAAAAATGATACATCAAGATGGATGGATGAGTCAGTTTCTTGGTTATTTACGAAAGTTCTTAAAGAATTTAGTTTATGGAGTAGGTATTAATTATCATAAGTTTTAAAAAGTACGAGTCTTTTTTTTGAAGGATATTAATCAAACCCTGATAATGGTGGAAATCCCACTAGGCACTAAGGAGAAGAGAACTAATATATAAAGTAAGATAAAAGTCCGAGCTATCTCAATGTTTGGCAAAAAGACCAAGAAGTGAAAGACTTCACAACACGGGTCTTTTCTGATTTTGAGTCTGGATTAATCGTTTCTCTGGTGCAGGCTTTTTAACCTCTTCAAGAACCTCTGTATTGGTCCAGTCAGCACTGATATTGATGTGCACCACTCAATCTATTTACTAGTCCTTGAGAAATGCATGTCTGTCTTGAAATGATTGTACTTGCACAATCAATTAAAATTTTTAATAGACCGTCTTTATCTTTTGAAAATGGTGGCCATCTTAATTTTCAATTAACATAATATTACTTTCATCTCTTCTTATATTGTTAAAGATCAATATAATTTGTATAAATCTGCAGTAAATTTATTTATTTTTTTAGATTTTTGGAAGTACCCCTGTTTCTGAAAGCCCAGTATTCTAATAGTTGCAAAAATGCCTTTATGGCCAAAGTTGCCGGAGAATAGTATCCATCACACTGCATGCTTCTAGTTAGCTCCACCTCCTAGCCTTGTTTTTTACTATGCTGTTTGCTGTACTTCTGCTGTTTTACTTTGTTTTGTATAATTGTATTACCCATTAAAACCAGAAGGGAGGGGGGAGGGGAAAAAATATTGTTTGGGGACAGTTGAACTGCCCCTGTAGAAATTGTTAATGTTTTGTCATATTTTTTTACTCACCTATTCTCATCAACCATTGACTTGTGTTTATGTGAATTTTGATTTTTAAAATGTTTTTTTCTCGATCCATATCTAAAATCTGCTGCTGATTGAAAATATATTTCTACTCTGAACAGACCCCTAAGGTCTATCCATATGACAACTTGCGAGTGGAGCTTGGTGGAGAACCATAGGTATCTGGTTGCAACACATTGCAAGCTAATGTTGTTTGATGTTCATGTTCATGTTCATGTTGTCTCCTTTTTATTTGTTTACTTTTTGGGAAGATCAGATCACTAAGAAATAATGTATTATCATCGCCTGTTGCTGAAACTAAAATATTCAAACAAATAACTGAAGTTGGTTTTGTTTAAAGCACTAAGAAGGTTCCCATGATAAGATTCATAATTTGTTTACCTATTCTGGTTATTGCTGGTTATCATTGATAAGATGTGCGATATATTGCATCAAAGAAAAGGCATTTGGTTACTTTTTGTGATCTGACTCTTGGTTACTTTCTGTGATCTGACTATTGGGCATTCACATGGAAGAAGGTTGAAATTTGAGTTTTAATTAGGAAAATAGAGGGTGTTTGTGTGTCTTATCTGGTCCAGAAGAGAAAATTAGAAAATAAAAAATAAGTGGAAAAAATCCTTCACTCTATTGGGTGGTCTGTATCTTGCCAAGATAGAAGAAAGAAAAGAAAAGAAATATTATAATGCATCTCGGGCCTTCTAAAAATCAAGAACAATAATGGACAGGAAAGAATGATAGTAGGGGAAAGTCATGTAGACCATTATGCTTGTGCTATTGGATTTAACCGGTATTCAGAGAATTTGGTGGGGGCATAGTAGCTGCTGTAGCATAAGAAAGTCGATACATGCATTGGCTTTTAAAATGGACCCTTTGAAAGCTGGTGCTGCTGTAAGAGTCGTCGTGTCACATGTCAAATGAGTTGTCAACCTCTCATGACTCACATGGCTTTATATGTAAGAGGTCATACTATGATTTGATTATGCTATTGACAATTGGTCTTTGTGTGCGTGTTGTAGTTGTGTGGCATAGAAAGGAGCTTCTAGATTAGGAACTTATTGGAATTTCTGATGAGTCTATGCTTGCAATTTGTTCTTCAGTGTAATTCTCATTGTCTTCATTTTATATGTAAGGTTTGATATTATTTTCCTATTTTGCTATTTTTGGATACTCAATTTGAATCTGAATAGCTGGAAAAGAAAATTGTTATATGCAAGAATTGTCCAATTCAGTTGTATTGTAGTGTAGTTCAGATTCTCCTATGTGCTCCAATCACGGGGATCCATGGAAGTCAAATATAGCTGCCTTACGTCGTCGTATTCGTTAGAGATATTTAATTTTGGAGATATATTAACTGCTGATTAGATGATGAGATACTTCTGGTAAAGACGATCTTATTCAGATAACAAAACGTTAATCGATTGGTAATCTCATATCTCATTCATATCACGGATATGTTGATTGATTTTGGTGGGTTTGAGTCAAAACCTATTGTGTTGTCATTGTCAATTTGTATGGACAAGCCTATAGCTTTGCACATTGTCATATTGGCTGAACAGAGACGATGCATTGTGGGGCTGGTCACAGAAAAAACGCGTAGTAGAATTTAGATTCTGTGTGCTGGAATTATGTAAATGTATTAAGTATTTGATTTTTTACTTTGTTTCTCTTACTGGATTTTTGCTTCCTTGTCATGGTAAATTGAGGCGATACACGATACACTGTTAAAATTTACTACAGGTTTCATGTGCATCCTTGCATGATTTTTGGTGACATGGCAAAGAAAAATTGGTATTTTTACGATGTAGGTGTGATTGCTAAAAGACATATATAATTGTACTTGTTTATTCATCCATGTGACTGCCCTGAATTCAGATATATGTTGAACTTGTACTCAATCCCACAATGGTTTTGACTTTACATTATTCACGACTCATGGTTTCTTTCATAGCAGTAATTTGCTCTGAAATTGTCACGCCGACACCGAACTCCTCCCCTCATCCCCTCATTTTTGAGAACGGGGAGGTTATACAATCAATACATGCCCTTTTGTAATCCAAACGCAGTAATTTGCTAAATAATTTGTGTTTTTTTTTTTTTTTTTTTTTCGTATGAAGCTCTGAGCTTTTCTGGTGGATAGATTATGTTAATGTAAAACTGTGATGTATAGTAAACCAAAGCATTAGATGCATGACAAAGTATATAACTTGACCATTCCACTTTTTAGATGAAGTATTCTTGATGGTTATTTATTTAGGAATTTTTATTTTTGGAAATTGATGGTTAATTTTTCGTTTATCAATAGTTAATGTGGGAAAAGATCTTCTCGATCATGTCCGGATGACTTATTGCGAATTAATTAAATGTATTATGAATTCATTTACTTTCTATTTATTTTTTTTCCTTAGTTGAAACTCTGACGCACCTACTTTGTCTATATGACCGATGGATTCCCAATCTTTTACTTCGAAAGGTTAAAAAATATCACTAAACTATAGTGTTTGAAATATGAAAAATCATATTTATTAAATTATTTTTTTTACCGGTACATCACTTTTATTCCTCACCATCTTTTTCTAATCTTTCATTTTTATTTATTTATTATTTTGGTTTGGGTAAAGTTAAAGTGTATATAAAGAACAGGGATAATACACAAAAATCTGGGGACGACCACCCAAGAACATGGCCTTCCCGGGCCAACGAGAAACAGGATCAAACAAGACATTGACAAAGAATCTGAAAACAACCCAACAACCAGAGAGAGCCACCTTTACAACAATGAAAGAAGAAAACACAGAGCGCGTAGGAAGCACTAAGATGGGCCATTGATGTACGAACTAGTAAGGTGCCAAGAATCAACTACATTACAAGCTTTATATCAACTGTTATTTTCTGTTACACTGCCAAAACAGTTGCAGTTGAAATTAGGGTGAGACGGATTCCCTCCCGAGGTTGACGGATTCCCTCCAGATCCTGGGTGGTGTTCTTCAAAATTAAGTCGTTTTGGTGCACATCATATAGTCTAAAGCGGGCTGCATGGAGTCCCGCTGTTTTGGTGCACATAACGTAGTCTAAAGCGGGTTGTGTGGAGCCCCAACATCGGGCTTGCTTTGGGCTCCATGCTTGTGCATCAAACAGGAGGAGATCCACTTCCGAGACGGTCAAACTTTCCTTTTAAAGCTTTATTTAGGGCAAATGAGAATCCAAAATAGTTAGTCTAATAAATATTAAGGGATGAGTCATCTTTTCTCTTTTATAAATTTTTATCTTTCCAAATATGTGCGGAAGAAAGAAGGTAATATAAGTGAGGTTATTATACAAGTTTTAAATTACTAATATCCTAAATTAGACAAACACATTAAATTTCTAATATCCTAAATTAGAATTCTCTTCCATTTTTCCTGACGAATACACTGAACCAAAAAAGAGAATGATACAATCTCTTTTCTAGGATTGTCTTATCCATCATTTTCTCTGGGTTTAGGGCTAGAGCGAGGCACAATTACGATTCCATTTAAACAAGCATTCATACCAATTACATTTACCGGGATAGCAGGAGATCCTTACATTATAAATCAATCTAGTAGGTCCAAGACAGACATCAAGAGCGGGCGAGGAAGACACCCATCTCGTTAGGGCCATCCAGCGGTAAAGAAGGATTGTTTTACCTGACAATCTCTTCTCTAGGAACGTCTCATCCATCCTTCCTTTCCCCTCTCCTTTCCATCCAAAATTTTTCTTTCGCATCGAACAGAGTATTAGAGTTTTTGTTTCTACGGAAAGAAAAACACATTGGATTCTGTATAGACAGTAAAAGCACAACTCTGTTAGAATTTGTTTTTTATTTTCGCCACAACAACACAAAGATCCAAATGCCAAATGATAGAGATCTGGAAACCTTGAGATCTCATAATTCATATACAGATTATAGAATATTATCAAGCAATAATAACCTATTAAACCCACCATGTTCATTCCAAAAAATAAAAAGTCTCTATATACCCCACCCTTGCATGAAAGTATGAACCACTTGAATATTGTTAGATCAGTCAGACATTATTTTCTCTCTCTCTGCATGTGAGAGAAATTGACAACTAATCAATTCACAAAACTCCAAACTCTTTAATCCTTGAAAGCTTATCCCTCCAAGTTGGCCTCTCCAACTTGTCTTGGACATTCCACATTTTGATACCAATGTGCCCACACGGTTCTCTGTATTTTCTTCATATATTCCACAAAATAAAAAATACAAAATAAATCAATATTTCTATCTATAAAACCCTAGCCCACTTCACCATTTCCATATCACCAAACACACCCTCTAAACACAAAGTTTCACACACCACAAGTGTTTTTGCGTCTAGCTAGCTTTGAAGCAATGACATCAACTACACTTTTTCTCATACTCAACCTCCTCTTCTTCACTTTGGTGAGCTCAACCTATGTCCCATGCCCACCACCACCAAAGAGTCCCAAGCACCCCCACCCCAAGCCCCCAAAGAGCCCACCGGCAGTACCGGCACCGGCTAAGGCCACTTGCCCTAAGGACACACTCAAGTTGGGTGTGTGCGCCAACTTGTTGAATGATTTGGTGCACCTTGTGGTTGGAACCCCACCCAAGACTCCATGCTGCAGCCTCATTGAGGGTCTTGCTGATCTCGAGGCCGCAGTGTGCCTTTGCACCGCCATTAAAGCTAACATCCTCGGAATCAACCTCAACGTTCCGGTTTCGTTGAGCTTGCTGCTCAACTACTGTGGAAAGAAGGTCCCAAGTGGCTTCCAATGTGCTTAGAGTTGATCACTCTATGTTCCACAATTTCTCTACTTCATAAGCTTTTCTTTCTCTTTTCTTTCTTGGTGTGTTTGGTATTTGGATTATTATTGTTTGAAGCACTTATAATTAGTGCATGTCATTGCTGTTTTTATTAATGTTGTTTGGCCAAAACTGTTGATTTCAAGAAGGCTATATATGATCATTTTCTTTCTCATATATACTATTTTCTATATTCTAGCAATAAAGGTCTTTTAACAAAGATGTGAGATGTTATTTTTGGGTTAAATTTTTTTTTTTTTCTTTTATTTATTTATTTATTTTTTACTTCTTGATGGAAAAAGATTAACAAGTGCTACTAACCAAGGCCCAGCAAATAGGGCCAAGTCAAATTCTACAATATTTTAGGCTTTAGATTCATCCCTTGTCTATTTTTCTGTTTAATGGTAAAGAAGAAAGATCAATAATTTAAACAACTTACTTTCACAGTGATCAATACACAATTAAGTCTTTTCTTAATTATTTGGAGTCGTGATTCTTATATTTTTTCATTATGCTCTATTTATGGTCTTTGTATCTGTGTACCATACAAAACTGAATTTCTTTCGATTCTAATTCTATGACACTTGCTCTATGCTCCCAAATCTAATATAGAGCCGGGATAATCTAGTGTGTTAAACCTTTTTTAAATCTGTTTTCAACACATTAAATTTATCTATTTTAGCTAGAGTTAACGTGTAGAAAAATAGAATTAATATATTGAGAAATAAATAGGTGGATTGAAAAATGAAATTAATGTGTTAAAAAATTACAGTACTACTAGGATGGGACGCTATGACATTTATAACCGTTTTTTTTGGTAAATGTAACTATCCTCAACTCATTTGTCCTTATTAAGAACCGAGCCTTCACCTTTTATATTTATATTGGACGGTAGAATAAATATCACTAAGTTACAGTAACATTTTTTCAGATTCAATTACTATATTTTTTTGTGGCTTTGATTTTGTGGAACTCCAAATAATATATATATATATTATTTGGAGTTCCACAAAATCAAAGCCACAAAAAAATATAGTAATTGAATCTGAAAAAATGTTACTGTAACTTAGTATATATATATATTATTTGGAGTTCCACAAAATCAAAGCCACAAAAAAATATAGTAATTGAATCTGAAAAAATGTTACTGTAACTTAGTGATATTTATTCTACCGTGCAATATAAATATATATATATATATATATATATATATATATATATATATATATATATATAGATCATTAAAACGATGGACTACATTTTTGTTATGTTACTCAAGTCTTGTTCCGCATCTTTGGTTTTCGAGTAATAAAACTTATCCTATCAAAAAGGGAATAAATACAAAAAAAATCTTATAGAGTGAACAGATCACACGACCAATTTCGGAATTCATATAATTATTAATAGGTGTTGTTAATTAGCCATCACTGACTTGAGATGATGTTTTTTAGTACAGAATTGACGACCGAAGAGAATAAACAAATGAATGTGAAATTGAGGTTTATTTTAGCAATTCCAGAAAACCCAGCAATGATTCAATTTTTAAAAATAGAATTAAAAAATTGAGGTTTTACAATTCTCATTTTAATGCATGTGTATGTCAATAAGTCATTTATGGACTGCATAAATTGAAAAAGACTATAATAAATGATAAGTTTAAAATATAAGGTGAAATGTATACCACGCAAAGAAATTAAATTTATGTTAATTCGGATGCTTTCTTGTGTCATGTCATCTGTGTGGCATTTTATTTCATTTAAATTGCTAAGGCTCCATTTGGTTTGATGAAAATAAGCAAGAAAATAAAAAATAAAAAAAAGAAAAAAAAAAGTGAAGTGAATGAAAATAAAAATTATTTTCTAGCATGTATTTGGTTTGAATAAAAATTTATTTAAGAAAATTGTAGGAAAATATTAATTTGTTATTTTGAATAGTATGAAAGTAAGAGAAAAGTGACTGATCATACCAAAATTACTTTTATGATTTCAAGTACTAAAAAAATAAATGAATTTGTATTTTATAATGTCTATTTTTAGCAAAGAAATAGTAAAATGTTGAATTATTAAATTTAATAATATAATTATTTATATTTAAAATAAAACTTCATTCTATTTTCTTAGGAAAAAGTATAACTAATTATTAGTTTAAGAGAAACGAAACTTTGAAAAAAAAAAAAAAAAACACAACAACAACAACGGAGATGACAATACTAATTTTTGAGAGGGATTTGATTGTATGTTGTTGTTGCCAATTATATATAAACTTGTGAAAAAACAAAGAAAAAGTTGTTTTGCAAGAAAAAAAGTTTTGCACGATTAAGTTAATGGGTTAAGACACAAGATCCCCTTCACAGAGCTGATCTGAATTCGCCGTGAAAACATGGTCTACATATGCTAAAATTCAAAATTGTATGATTTAGAAATTAATTTTCTAAGTGCATAGAATACGGATTAAAATCCTCTTTTGAGTTATAGTATATTTGTTCCAATTAGTGAAGAGAATTAATGATATACATTATCAAAATATTATAACGTTTAACTTTACATTTTAATATTTTTGTAACGTCCACATGAGTGAATTTTGATGCTATAGAATACACATAAATTATTAACTTTAGATGTTGTGGATGTGCATGTTTCACTCTGGAGAACAAATTTTGAGCTGAGATGAGTGGTTTGACCCATCTTCAACGGTGCTACAAAATCTTTGTGCTGAGAGATATAGTCTCAAGCTGGTCATGGATTTTAACTCCATACACAAATCGAATGTACGAACCCTTGGGCATATGTGAGGTGGTTTTATGACATTTTCTCATACAAGAAAACTATATCACATCAACATTCATGATGTTTAGTATTGTCTGCGGAGGAAGGTCAGTATATTATTATTTCCGAACTATTTTTGTGCTTACCCTTCTTTAAATAAGATGCACAAAAATAATTGATTCCACTCTTTCCATCTCTACTTTGCTTCCCACAAATGTCATTATCAAACAAATAAGGTACCCACACATCTCTTTCTTTCGCTTTCAGAGGTCGGCATAAATATATTTATATTTATTTATTCAATTTTTATTTAAGTAAGAAACTCACACATTTACTCTTATTCGTAGAAAAATTATCTTTACTAATTATATTTGAAGGATAGTACTTAGACCTTCACTGTTGAAGTGAATCAACAATAAATAGACATATCCTTTCTATATTTGAATAATAATTTAACGACCGAATTAATCATGTGATAAAACCCACCATCCTTCGCACTTAAATTGAATTCAATTCAATTCCAAAATCACTACTTATAATATTTCCATGTAATATGATATAGAATTCATGGTATGGTCCTCTCACAATCGTTGTTCGGTTGGTCTTTATTTATTTATTTGTTTTGTGTTTTGGCTGTTTATGATTTCTTGGGCTTCTTACGTTTAGCCAATATAGGCTTTGAGCCTTTTTGTTATTTTGATCCTAGTGAGTTCATCAAGAACTTTTTAATTTAGTGGTATTTTCTTGTCTGCTGAACTTTTTTATTCTAGCTTAGTGATATTTTCTCACATTCTGAACTTAAAGAAAGTTAAAGTAAGAAGGTTTAAGTCCTCTGAATAAAAAAGTTAAAGCTAGAAGTTTCAAGTCCTTGTAGGAGCAAAAGTTGATGTGTGAGTTTTTCTTACATAAAAAAAGCCTAGCGAATTAGCTGAATCTAATCGATCTCTTCATAATTTTAGTGAGACTTTAAGAAGCTAGTGAAATAAGAAACTAAGAAAAGGGTTACTGCCAAAGTTTTGACTTGAGAGATATATAAATCAGGTTTCATGTCATCCTATGTCGCGTTTTATTCCATTTAAATTGCTAATGCAATAATAATTCATATGGCTTATGCAATAACTTTATATCATTTATGTAATAATTTTATATCACTTACGTAATAATAACAACTTTTTCACGTATCTTTACGATTTAATGTGTTACACTAATAATTTATATCAACACAGGACTAAGATACATGATCCCCTCCACAGGAGTCTATCTGAATTCGTTGTGAAAACAAGGTCTCCATACGCTAAAATTCAAAATTTATTTCATGCGCTATAGTATATCTATCCCAACCAATGAAGAGAATTAGTTATATATGTTACGAAAATATTGTGACGTTTAGCATTGTATTCCAATATTTTTCTAACATACATCTCAACATTTCTCTAGTCAATTTTGATGCCACAGAATACACACAAATTAGTAACTTTTACATGTTTGTGGATGTGCAAGTTCCACTCTGGAGACTAAATTTTGAGCTGAGATGAGTGGTTTGGCTCATCTTCAATGTCGCTATAAAATCTTTGAGCTGAGAGATATAGCGCATGAACATTGACGGTCCAACATCTCAAGCTGGTTATGGATTTTAACTACATACACAAATCGAATGTCCGAACCATTGGCCATATGTGAGGTTTTATGACATTTTCTCATACATGAAAACATATATCACATCAACATTCATGATGTTTGGCATTGTATTCCGAGTAACGTCAATATATTCTTATTTCCCAACTATTTTTGTACATATTTAAATAAGATGCACAAAAATAGTTGATTCCACTCTATCTATCTCTACTTAGCTTCGCCCAAATGTCATTATCAAACAAATAAGGTACATATCTCTCTCTTTGTCGCTTTCAGATGTCGGCAGAAGTATATTTATGCATACAAATTATATATATATTATCGTAAAAAAAAAAAACTCACACTAAATGATCATCGTTATAAGAGTTATATACACATCTCTTTCTCTTAGCAGCTGTTGCATATCAGTTCATAGAAAAATTATCTGTACCAATATGATATAGAATGATCCCTATATCACATATACGAAGACACTTTATGAGATCAATGACTTAAAAGACAGATGTTGAGAAAAAGTTGACTTCTTTATTGCGTTGCGAAGAGAGATTGAATACGAAGATTTTCTGATGCAGTAAAAAAAATGTCTCCTCACCATGGTTAATTAATTCCATATATAATGAGAGAGACACTTTTTATGCATTTCATTAAGTTATAGTGAAAATTTGGCTTTTGATCCTAGTGAGTTGGACGAATTTTAGTGAGACTTTAACAAGCTAGTGTAAGAAGAAACTAAGAAAAGGGTTTGTGCATTACCTTCCACGCTATTTAAAATTGGGATTTTTACAAAAAAGTGTATTTATGGACCCATATTCACTATATCATGCAGTCAAAGTATTGAAGTCTCAGAAAAATGAAGTTGACTGAATTAGTGACGTGGCAATTCAATGTTCATTATATTTTGTTGCCTAAAGTACCCTTGTTCTGGTTGAATCAATTTACCTTATTATCCCCATTTCATTTATTTATCAACACAAATCCCATAAACCACTTTCTGGCCATTACATCCGCATCCAAAATATCCCAAAAGGAACCACTTTGTTCTCTCTCTAAAGTCTTTCTGCACAGAACTTTGAAGACCAAAATGTTCCCAAAACTTCACAAACCCAGAAGAAAATATTTAAGCTTCAATATTCAGCTAGCTGTGTGGTGAGATGCAGCAGGGGAGAGAGTTAATTTGTGTGCCTGATAAATGAAGGGGGTAATGAAGTAATTTGATTTAAACAGTATAAAGGGTATTTTAGGTAACAAAGTATAATGAGTAGTAAAAGTTCATTGCCACATCAACAATTCAGTAAACTTCATTTTTAAGAAACTTCAATACTTTGACTTCATCATATAGTTAATATGGGTCCATAAATACATTTATGTGTAAAAATTCCTAAAATTAATTTTACTCATAAGAATGTGCACTTGACCATATTTACATTATATATATATAAATCAGGTTTATTTGACATAACCCCTTAGTACTGTCATTTTATGCTGACATGGCAAATATAATCCCAATGTATAATAAAAAGTGGTACATTATCGTAACATTTTTTTTAGAAGTTAAAGCAATTCACCTATGCACTCTGCATCCACTTAAATACGAACCCATGACTCCTTTTTGAAAAGTTAGAATCTACACTGCTTAATCATTGGCCTGTGTAATTCTTCTTTTTCTATTTATTTTTTTGATGAACAGATAGCTGAATGTCAATAGATCCTAGCAGCAAGGCCATGCACTCTACCACTTACAACTTGTGTAGGTTGATTTTTGGTGCCAAACATTTCCTAATTGGGGTTTCTTTCTTTCTCTGCTAAATTCTAACGGTTAGATATGAAAGATTATCAGAAACTCTCGATTTCTGTCAACAAACAATCCCAGATTTGAGAGTTCCTTTCTATATATTACAGATGGATCCCCACTTTTACCATCCACAGCTGCTACAACCCTACAATAAAAAAATCAATATATTTTGTAACCTTTCCAATATACCTTTATTACTACATTGAAAGGATAAAAGTAAAAAATAACAACACTACCTTCATACAGAGATAAATTTAAAATTTTCATTATTACCAATGCAATATAAAGATATTAAAAATTCATCTCTTAAAAAGTTTAGAGTTTTAAAAGTGGACATCTCACGTGAATTGGGACAGCCAGAGTATGTAGTAATAGTAGAAGGGTTAAGTGCAATTAAGACCATAAACTAAGAAGATCGAAGAACAAGGCTGCATGTACTTTCTTGCATCTATATTCCAAATGCCACTAATCCTACTGCCTACAAGTACTTGTACAACTTAGCCATTGTAGTATATCCCATTACATGTCAAACCATGAATTTACAAACAACAAAGCTATAATTATCATCACCATTACCTCCTGAAAAATTGAAACCCTAAACAACATCTCCTCATCTTCAAGCATGTGAATGGAACATCTCCGCCCCCCTTGCCTGTGGCACCGGTGACCGCCGATTCTCTCTGAAGTTGCCAAATTGATCATTATTTTCACTCGAAAGACTGTCCGGAGTCCCAAGTCCGTCCCCTTGTCCGATCCCCATGTACTGTTGCACCACCAACACCGAAAACGTGGCTGCAAAATCCGAAGAGGCTAATAAATCTCCGATAGCCCCGAGCTCCGGGCACTCGCTCCAGTCTGTCAACCCCGCCGTCAACGGCGATATTACCCCTTGGCCTCTACCAACGATGAATAAATCATGTATGTTGTCTATAGACCTTATTGCAGCAACTGTCTCCTCCCCATTGTTCACCACTTTTTCAACAAAATCAATGCATTCATCACTTGCAATCCTAACCCTAAAATCATTTATGAAGTCCTCATCTATCTGCTTCTCTCTGTCACTGTCCGTCAGCACTGTTAAAACCCTAGGGTTGAGAGTGCTATTATCACTAGCCTGCATGGTTGGTTCCATGGCCTCTTCTCCGGGAATGAACCTCATTACAGTGAGACTAATTCCGGGATGCTCACACATTCTCCATGCATACGATAACGCCTCCCTACAGTCCTGTCCCCCGAAAAACAACACTGCTACATGGTGGGACACCTGGTTCGCCGCCAGGCGTGTTGAGCCGTTCAGTCCCCGGTCCACCAATATGCCCACCGAGCATGGCGCGTTAGCTAGCACGTTTTGGTTGATAGTCCTAAATGCAGGGTTTGTAGCCTCCATTCCACCATCAACTGTTTGTTGTTTGTGAAATGGGATGATTATGAGAGCCACGCGCTTGTCCTCAGCCACACTGCAAATGTCCTCGTGCATGGTGGAGTATGGGGAAATGGCGGTGAGTGGCTGAATAGAGACGCATCCGACGTGCTGCTCGAAGTTCTCGAAGGCATTTATGATGTGGTCGGACTGGGCTTGGGTCCGGTTGAGGGCGGGGCGGCCGGATTTGCGGGTGTTGTGGACAATGAGCATGGCAGAAGCGCGGCCGGTGAGCTCGACGAGGTGGAGGACGTAGATGCAGATTGGGGATTTCTTGGTGGGGTGGGAGGCTTCGATGAGGTTGATGATGGTGGGGACGTTTCGAGGGGTGTGGACACAGACTAGGACTCGAAGCTCACTGTCTGGTTTGGATCTTTGAATTGTTCTGCGTTTGTATGGGACGAATCTTCTGGCTGGTCTGTAGATTATGGTTACAATGGGAGTGATGATTCCGGTCATGACCACGGCTACAATCACCATGATTGCAAATGATTGATCATCTAAGACCTGTATGCACAACAACAAATTTCAATGTTTGAGCATTGTCATATAGATCAAAAATCTTTTCCCCCTCAACACGTTGAAATGAAAATTTTACATTAATTAAGAGAAACAGAGGATTTCTTCAGTTGGCTCAGGAAGTTAGACTATATATATATATATATATATATATTGGTATTTTGGCAAAAGTGCACTAACACCCCTCAATTATATGCAATGTGAGCTTTTTGAAAATTGCAACAATTAATATATAGTTGAAGAGCTTATTTTACAAGAAGTAGTTGGGTGTTTAGTATAATTTCTTCTTTATATTATAAATATATATACTAGATTCTAATTGTGACACCATCTTAACCTCGAAGAGGATGGTTTGCCCATTTGAGGTATAGTCCTCACAAATAGAGTGAATCTCACCTCATATGGTGTGATTCACTCTCTACTCACCGTGCCGTGCACAGGAAATGATTTGGATCCTTTTGAGCATAGAAAGTATATAATATCTCATGACTACTTACACGTGGGTACCTGCGCCCAATACACAATCATTTAACTTTTAAATTACACGAGAAATGAATAGTTTTCATGAAAAAACATGACTGTGTATTAGACGGGATGCCATGTGTAAAATACCTGTGTTGTTGTATATTTTCATCTTTGGCATATCAGAGTGTTCCATACATGATACATGAGAGAGAGAGTACCTTTTGGTCCTTGCCCACATTGAGCACAATCATTTCCACAAGGCCTTTGGTGTTCATTAGCAAACCAAGTGTAACCCCTTCATGAAAAGGCATTTGGTAGTAGAGAGCAACAAGAAGAGTCCCAGCAACTTTGCCTGCACAAGAAAGAATAATGACAACACCTAGAATTGCCCAAGTAGAAGCACCATTTATTGTAGTAATATCAGTCTTAAGCCCACTCATTGCAAAGAACAAAGGCAACAAAAGCCCTGAAACAAAGTCTTCAAGCTTCTCTATAAGAGTCACACCAAGTGGTCCATTTGGGATTATTAGCCCAAACACAAATGCTCCAAACACAGAATGTGTTCCAATGGCATCAGTAATAAAACCAGCTATCATAACCCCCGTCAGAATCAGACATATATAGAATTCACTGACCGTTTCGCCTTCCGGGGTTCGCCGGATCATCCATGAGATCATCGGCCGGACAACGAAGATGCAGAATACGACGAAAGCCCCGCTCGAAAGGATCACCCAGAGAGAAGCCAAGGTAGTGAACTGGTTCTCGGCCAAGGCTATGGCAAAGGCTAAAAGAACCCATGCACACATGTCGTTGACGAGGGCGGACGACATGGCAATCCGGCCTATCTCGGTGTTGAGGAGCTTGAGCTCGGCGAGGATCCGGGCGAGGACCGGGAAGGCGGTGACGGAGAGGGCCACGCCGAGGAAGAGGATGAAGGTGCCTTGTTTCATGACCTGCGTTCTTTGGTGCAGAATGAAGGAGAAGGAAATTCCGATGATGAATGGCAAGACCATGCCGGCAATGGCTATGGCCATGGCCTTTTTGCCGGTGCGACGGACGACGGAGAGGTCCATTTCGACGCCGACGAGGAAGAGGAAGTAGAGGAGGCCCACGTTTGCCATTGTCTCAAGCACCATCACACTTCTTAGAGGGAATACTGTGTTGGCAAAGCCCTTGCTTTGCCCTAATATTGATGGGCCTAATATTACTCCACCCTGTCACCATTTGCACATATCATAAATGACCATTTGGTTTATTTATTATTTAAATCTAAATTTGTTACTTTGATATAGGAAATTAATATATATATATATATATATATTTTACGATTGTCATCATTTATGCATTGGTCTTCTTCCAATTTGTGATTAAAATTTGACATGCTTTGGAAACACATTTTGTCATATATATATATATATATATATATATATATATATATTGTCATGATATTAATTAGATAGAAAGAAAATTATACTTACAATGATCTCAGAGATGACCCGAGGCTGTCGAAAGGGTTTCAATAAAAAAACAAGAACATGAGTGGTAACAACAACCAAAGTTAATTGCAGGATGAAGAGAGGGAGAGAATAATCTAAAGGATTGTCACCCTGCCATATCCCATTTGTTGTTATCATCGTCGGTGCATAGCAAACTATGGTGTTATCCGTTTTGTTTCCCGTTGTATTTATCAGCTCCTGCCCTGACATTTTTGTCCGCCACCTTTTGCACCACCACCACTGCTGTGACAACCACCAACACCACCACAAACCTTCAAAATATAAAGAACTTACACAATTAGTGTTTTTTTATAATATTTGCCGGCAAATATTGCAGAAGGAATTTGTATAACTCTTGGAAAAGGAGTGAGATTTGAGAAAAGAAAGAAAGAAATTTTGTTAGTGATTTTTTAATTTTTTGTTTAGTTAATTTGGAATTGCGGAATAAAGGAGGAAGAGTGATGGAAGCAAGTTAAGTTAGTTTAGGTGGTTGCCCGACCCATTTGGGGCCTTTTCTATTCTTGTGTGGTCTTTAGTTACCCAAGAGTTTCCTATTTTTAACAAACCAAAACTGCTCCTCTCGTCACCGAGAGTTGACCACAATATTCCATGTGGCAAGTTCCAAATTAAAGTTATTTAATCTCGAGATAAAGTTTAAAAAACTTCACTGAATTATTGCACAAAAAAATTATAAGATGCCCTGCGGGGACTATCAAAAAAGTGTATTTAACGACAAAGTAACAATTTGCCCTCACTGAAAATGTTAATTACAAAATTACCTTTTAGTGAAATACTGTCATTTTATGTGTCAAATGCAATATGAACAACATTGCAACAACACATCACCTTATTATATTAACTACTTAGTACTTAACACTATTGCCAAACACGACCTAATTACACTACTTATTTTAGAGCCAAACACGACCTTACACATACGGCTCTCTCTCTATGCTCTCGTGTTCATTACTTGACCATCCCCGACGGTAATCTGGTTGTGTTTGTGTGAGAAAAAATACAGAGGAGGAGGAAGAGATGACCAAGAAGCCTAGTGGACCTCGCGTTCCTTAAGTAACAATCACATAGTACCAACAGCGAAGCAGCGATGAGGACGACGACCACCTCCATCGTCCGTCCATGGCCACCACTGCCACCGTCATCGTTCTCTCTACCCCACAAAGATTCTTCTTCTCCCAAAACAAAAAACAATAAAAATTGTTTTGGTTGCAAAGATATGTGTTTAAATTAGGGGATTTGATTGAAAGAATTAACACAAATATTCGGGGAGTTGTGATTGGGTTGGTTTGGTGATAGGCGACAATAGATTTTTTGGACTTTTGTGATTGAATTTTTAGCATTTGTGATTGGGTCTTGTTGCTAGAATTTAGGGTCTTGTGATTGGATTGCCGACGATTGTGATCGGTCACCCACAATGATATTTTTGGTTGATCAAACAGCAAAACAAAGATCCGCATAATAATGTTTGTGGTTGATCATCAAGCCGCAAAACAAAGATATTTTCTTCTTTGGGGTTATGCGTTTGACTCTTTAATTTTGTAGGAAAGTTCGGTTCCAATAGCTCGAAAACATAGAGAATGGGGGTGTTGTTGCTTGTTGCAACTTTAAATTTTTGGTTGGGTTCCAAAGGTTCAAAAATAGAGAGAGTGGGAGTCTTAAGGACGAATCCAGGAATTGTCAATGGATAGGCTAGTATTAAGAATTTAGGGTTTGTTTGGCTTGGGTCTTGTTTAAAAACTGTGGCTTAACTCTTGGGCTTGTTTGGATCGGCTAATTTTTTTTTTTTTTTTTTGGGCAAATACTACTACTAATTTTTTAATTTTTTTTATTGGGCTAAATTTATCTATAGTAATTAATTAATTAATTAATTAATTAATTTATTTATTTATTTATTTTTTTTGGGGGGGGGGGGGAAGGGGGGTCGAATGATCAGGCCCACCTGATTGCCTCCCCTACATCCGCCCTATGGAGTCTTGTTGCTTGTTGTAACTTTAAAAAATTTTTTCTCACTATCTTCAATTTCTTGTTGGAGTTGGAGGTGGATTAGAGAGAGATAGAGGTGTATTGTAGAGAAAGGGAGAGGCGGTGGTGGCGTCCATGGATGCCGGAGGTGGCTGGTTGGGGAAGAATAAAAATTAGGGTTTGTGTTGGTGAAGAGAGATGACGATTTGGTGTTGCATGAGGTCGAGAGAGAGGGAGAGATGGTGGTGGCATCCATGGATGTTGGAGGTGGCTGAATGGGAAAGAATAAAAATTAGGGTTTGTGATGGTGGAGAGAGATGACGATTTGGTGTTGAATTTTGTATTCTCGATAAGATGTATATGTATTACGTTATACGTATATATGTGTGTACGTGTACTACAACATATGTATTTGTATATAAGGGTATGATTGTCATTTTTAATTTATAGAATATAGTCATGACCAAAATTTAACGGAACGGTGCCACTTGTATGTTGTTTTTTTTTTTAAAGTGGGGATAGTTTAGGTGGTTTTCTGTAATTAAAAAAAAAAGAAAAAGAAAAAGAAATTGTTAATGGTGTTTCTTGGGGAGAGCAAAGTTTAGGTTTTATTTTTTGAACTTTACCCTTTAATCTCTAGATACACCAATATAAAGAGCAGGGAGGTCAATGGTCACGTCCAGCCAGGCACAAACCATAGTCTAGCTCCGATGTGCACCTTATTTGATTTGGATAAATAGATATTACAAAAACAAAAAAAGAAAGAAATAAAAAAGAAGTGGGTGTACGAATATTTTGCAAATTAAAAGTAATTAAAAATAAAAAGTTGATATGTTCCCTTTCTGAAGTGAACCCGATTAGACATCATCGCATGTGCTCTTTGTGGGTCTTTTTCCTCTATCAATCACATGGCTCTTGGTGTTTGAAGTCTCCCCTGTTTCCTCTGCTTGAGTTGTGGGCTCTCTGGCTGCCTTTTTAATTTTTTTAGGAAAATAAAAAAAACTCAAATAATTAACCACCCATTGTCTATCTTTAATGTATATGCTCTTATTTATTTATTTTTGCATCTGTGCGTGCAAAAATTCATGTGCGTGTATAATGGGCATTGTGACTTCAAAATTGATGCAATAAGTCTTTCCACCGAAGGACTTCCAAGTCAAGTCAATGAAGTCACCGTTACTGTAGAATCGGTGCAATAAGTCGTTCCAAAGTTAAAAGAATACAAGTCAAGTCATTAGTGATCCAAAATGTATTGCTAAAAGTTTCTTTCTTGACAGTACTAAAGCCTAGAAATTTGAAAAAAAAAAAATGGGCAGCCATGATCCCCTAAAACATGACATATTATTATTATAAACCAGTAATTATTACTTTTTTTTTTTTTTTTTTTCTATATTGGAAACTGATATAGCTTGTTTTTAATAGTGTAGGAAATGAAATTTGAAAATATCTGAAATCGGATTGTGATAAAATAAGAAGAAATTAAATTTAGGTGAACACAAACACTCCTTAACTTAGGCCTTTTCTTTTTCTTTACACCTACTAAATACGATGAAAAAGTATGAAATAATGAATTGGATTGTATTTCAATCATGATTTACGAGTAGTTAGTGAATAAAGAAATACTCACTAGTTCTATACTTATTAGTGGGTAGAACGTTCAGTTCTTCAATGTGTCCTTGTTCAAGTTTTCCTTCTTCCTATTTTGCTAAAACACAGAGAGAAATAAATACTCTTTATGTTGTGTTCGGTAAGGTAAGAATGAAAGAAAATGTATTGAAAGAAAATAGGAAGGGAGGAATGAATACGAAGAATGACCCATTATTTTTTCTTTACAAATTCTCATCCGTAAAAAAATGGTAGAAAAAATAAAAAGAAGATAAGTGGACTATTATAAAAGTTTTAATTTAAATACTATCTTAAATTATATAAGTTTTAAATTACAATACTATCCTCTATAAATTACCATATATATATAAATATTATTGAATATAATGATAAAAGTAATTAAAACATTCTTCTTTCTTTTCTCTTTTCTAGTGATGTCACATCTTCTTTATTTCCTATCAAACGTGACATTTTCTTCCCTAGGATTTTAGGACAATATTCAAAATGCACTCTAATGACATTTTATGATCACCCTGGTGTGAATAGCATTATCCTAATGTAAAATTCAGTGAAAATATCATCTGGTCTAAAACTAGCATTCCTAAAGAGAGAGAGAGAAAAAAAAAAAAAATAAAAAAATAAAAAAATGATTTAATTAATCCAAGAAAATGACCTGCGATTAATCACTCCAAACTTCACCGTGCTTTCATCAGACTACCATCTCTCTGTCACTGTCAACAGAAAATGAGGACAAAAAGGAGACCTCAGACTTGGCTGTAAATTCAGAGTCACTGCTCAAACCCATACAAGATCAATCTCGAAGACTGACTAAAATAATTGAAAGAAACCCTAGAAAAACACAAGCTCTACGTCCTTCAAAGCACCAGGAATAAATAAATATTAAAATAAATTAAAAAATGTAGCAACAAAACAAAGAGTTCGTGCCACATAAGTCCGTGCAAACTGTTTCTTCACGGATTGAATTGTAGGAGTCACGGATTGTGTATTGAAATTCGCAAAGCACCAACAACATTCCAAACAATCCAGTTTGTGTTAATCGATCCCTTTGGGATTCTTTAGACGGACTTGACGAGTTCGGATTCTGTGCTATAGTAGTCCTTGCTGAATCCTGTTATAACGTTTCTTAATTTATTTAAATAATATTATAATACATTAATAAATGTATTGAAATATAATTTAATATTCAAAAATGATTTTAACACACCTGTTTTAACGCTATTGGTTCTTAATTTCAAAATCTGATAAAATTTAAAACAGAAATAAAGAAGAAATGTGTTAAAAATAAATCGAAGTGTGTTGAAAAATTATGTAACATGTATTAGTTACAGCAGAGGATTCATTCAGACACTATATGTACTACATTCTTCTTTCTTTTATCTTTATTTCATTTATGAAATTAACCATTCACGGGTTGCCCATAAATTTCAGCTATAAATCTTAGAATCAAAGCCATCAAAACCCAAGAGAGGAAGAGAATATAGTACTAGTTGTAGTAGTCCTTTAGGAACCCAAAGTAGGCATGGGTTCATTAAAGCTCACAGCAATGTTTTTCATATGCATGATCTTCATGCTAGTGTCATTGCCACCCATCTATGCTTGTGGCTACTGTACACCACCACAACCACCCCACCGCCGTCCTCATCCGCCCAAGACTCCCCGGAAGCATCCACCGTCCACCAAGCACCCACCGCACCACGGAGGAGGGCGTCCTCCGAAGGTGTCACCGCCTTCAGTCAACCCGCCAATAATTGTCCCACCAATCATCATGCCACCTCCGGTCATATCGCCACCAGTTATAGTGCCTCCTATAATAAATCCTCCGGTTATAATTAAGCCACCTACTACTCCGTACCCACCTTATACCGGTCCTCCTGGAGGCGGCGGTGGTGGACCACCACCGGGTGTAAGTCCACCGCCTACAACTCAACCGAAGTGTCCGATTAACGCGCTGAAGCTAGGGCTTTGTGTGGATGTGCTTGGAGGTTTGGTGCATATTGGGCTAGGGAATCCAGTTGAGAATGTGTGCTGCCCAGTGCTTAAAGGGTTGTTGGAGCTTGAAGCAGCTGTTTGTCTATGCACTACCATAAGGCTTAAACTACTTAATCTCAACATTTTCATTCCTCTTGCACTTCAAGCACTAATCACTTGTGGGAAGACTCCTCCACCTGGTTTTGTGTGCCCTCCTCTCTAAGTGTACTTCAATGTTGTCATCCTGGAATTTTAGGTTCTTTAGTGTCTTTGCTTTTTTTCTTTTTTTTTTTTATTTTTTTTATTGTGGTTTTTTTTTTTTTTTTTTTTAACTGTAATTTGTATTAGGGTTTGGATCATTTGCTGTTTTCAAAAGTAGGATTTTAAGGGTATGTGTGAATTGAGGGGGCACATTTTGAATTTCATGTGCTGCATATCTTTTTTCCCAACTCTCACCTACTTTCGCACCCAAATTGTAGGTCCTAAATCAGTACAAATAACATTACTTTAAGTTATGTTTGGGAATATCAAATTGACGTCTTAAAAATAAAATTGAAAAAAATTTAATTTAAACGTACTGTATTTGCGCTCCAAAGAGATATTCTAGCACTCCATTTATATTTTTATTAAATTAAAATAATAAAAACGTCCCTCTCTCTTCTCTCCTCCGATCGCTTATCTCATCTACAAACCCTAAACTGTCTTCTCCTCATGGCCTCCACCACCACTTACAACTCAATCAAAATAGTGACCCATCAGTACCATACTGTAGGTAAGTAAGTTCAAAATAAACAATTATGGTGACTCACACTCAGTGGGTTTGTATCTTATTATATATAAAAAGCTGATTGTGACAAAGATTGTTCACGAGAGCATAGATGGTGGATAAAGGGACTATTATATTTCAAATGGTCACCCTCAATGTCACTCCTTAAAAGTAGATTGCATCTCGTGACATATGATTCAGAATTAAGAGACGGGTGGTAAAATATTTAGATAGATCAATAATAGAGGACATGACAACAAAATTATTAGCATCGATATATATATATATAGATATATATATATATATATATAATGATAATAATAATAATAAATGGAATATTAATTTGTTGGTGATACTATATCATCCATATTGCTCAAACATTAAAGTATTTTATTAGTAAATACTTTATGATCGATATATATACATAGGATCAAACATTGTGAGAAGGAATGAGAAACAAAAATTATGACACACCATTGATTGCAAGAAGTTAATTAGCAAAATTAACGAAAATTCTGGTATGATCATGTTCTTCTGGGATTTTTATCTAGGTGCGACGGTGCGAAACTAGTGGTACTACATAATATGTAGGGTAGGACCAGCTTGTGTTTTGTATGTGGGGGTCACATAACCATTTTTCTAGCATCTAAAAGTAGGGCTATGAAGAGGAAAGGCCAGAAAAATTAGCTTATATTTTAAGTTTATGACCAAGCTAGTTACCCTCCAAATTTGCGAGCGGTGGGATCACTAGCTTGTGGAAGATAATACACCGTTTGAACCGCGAACGGTTAAACTGACCGACACAGTTTCCAAAGAATTTTGACGAGTTTGTTTTTACTGAATTTTTTTTTTATTTTCAATCGAAATTGGGCGAACAATTAATGCTGGTGACATACCTTTGACACCCATTTTGGTATTTGGGCCTTGAATGATATTTGGGCTGAATTTAGTCTGGATTAGTTATCAGGTTGGACTGAAGGTTGGGCTGAGAGTCATCTACATCGACATGGATTACCATCATGGGAGAAATGATGTGGCAGATGTTGCAAAGTTACATGCAACATGCGAGAGCACTAATCGGATAGAAAATTTTTGAACAATGAGATGATGGATAGGATTTAGGATTTATGTGTAATATTTATCGTGTATTTGGTTTTAGTTAAGAAGTAGTGTTTATCTATGACAGTCAATTTTGAATTTATTTGCAGTTATGATATAGAGTAGTATCGCATTTAGAAAACTTATATATAGGATTTGTCTACGAATTATTTTATAAATAAAAAAAAACGAGTAATAGTGGTCCAGCATTCTTAGAATTTTTAATTTATTTATTTGCTTTCTCAAGCTCTTTCCCATAATAACATTCCTCTAAATCTCTCTCCATGTCTTTCTTTCTATATCTATTTCTCCCATTTTTTAATTTTCTCAAACGTTACTATAATTATTCATTGATAAAGATCTTTTAATTAAGCCATTTCTTGAACTCAAAAAAGGGAGGCACGCCCGCATCATATCAATCCCGAATCGGATCTTAAGAGCCGATTTTAGCGTCAACACATGCACTTTTGTTTTTTGTTGCGAAATTCAATCGGTGTCCCAACACTGCATCTTGTAGTTCCTTAGAAAACTGTTGAATCGGTGTCCCAACACTACAAGGACAAAATCATTCATTCATTATCCTGTGTGAATGTTTATAGTTTCCATTTTGTCAAAGAATGTATTCAAAATTGTAGATGATTGCCATATATATATATATATATATATATATATATATATATATATATATATATATTCTCGGTAAATAAACTTTATTGAAAAGAAATATATAAGATAACCAGGGTTTGAAGAACCTCACAAAAAAAGACCAGGATCCTCTCTTTGTTCCTCTTTTTGTCCCGTCATTATTATGTGCATTTAAATCGATTCCGTAATAATTTTAAATCGTTAATGTAATTACTTGAAATTGACAACTTAATAACTACATAAATTAAGGTGTTGATTTCTAGCTTTAATGGTTTTGACATTGTTGTTATACAAGTGTTGTATATGTGATTACAATGTTGCTAGTGTGTTGTAATGGTGATTTAATAGTGATGGGTGAGAATTGGAGAAGATCGGGATCCCACGAACAAAGCGATTGCCACGATTAATCACATACCAGATTAATCACATACCACCCACGATTAATATAATCAACCACCATTCACGTAACACATACACGTTAACATGAACAACATACCCATACCCATGTACTAAACGCGTATTTTTGCATTATTCTCAAGTCTCAACACTCTCCCCTTAATGCAGAAATACCCCACTCTTAATTTTTCTCTTAAATAAACAAAATTCTCCAATGGTAATGGCTTTGTGAATATGTTTGCAAGAAGTATAGTACTTCATTTGGATGTCTTGATTGGTGATCAATTCTCTGATGAAGCGATGACGTATCTCTATATGCTTTGTGCATCCATGATGAACATGATTCTTCGTCATTGCAATGGTAGATTGATTGTCACAGTAAAGTGTAGTTGCTCCATCTTGTAATTGTTTCATGTCTCAGGAAATCCTTCGTAGCCAAACAGCTTGGCATGCCGTTGTAGTAACTGCTATATATTCTGCCTCTGATGAAGAGAGAGCGGTTGATTGTTGCTTCTTTGAACACCATGAAATTGCGCCTGAACCAAGGCTAAAAATATAGCTAGAGGTGCTCCTCCGGTCTTCAATTGAACCTGGCCAATCACTGTCAGAAAAATCACGTAACTCAAATTTGTAGTGTAGTTATAATAAATACCATAAGAGGAAGTTCCCCTTAGGTATCGTAACACCCGCTTTGCTGCTCCCAAGTGAATCTTGTTTGGACTTGACATGAATCTTGATAACAGGCTTGTTGCAAACATAATATTTGGCCGACTGTTGGTGAGGTATAACATACTGCCAACCAAACTTTTATATGCCATGATATGAGCTTAAGATATCAGGATCAGTGATTAGGAAGTGTATATTGCCTTAGGATGCATAACTGGATATAGTGGATAGTTGTGTGCCTTGGTAGATCATGATACTCATGCCTACTATATGTGTGTTTTGCATGTTACCTACTATCCAGTTGAAGCTGCCTTATGGTGAAAGGTGGTGGCGGTGGTGGTGGTGGCGGTGGTAACGGTGGAGAAAGGCGGGTGGCGGTAGAGAAAGACGGTGGCGGTGATGAAAAATAGTAGTGGTGGGAAGTGGTGGTTATGGTGAAAGGCGGTGGTGGAAGGTAGTGGTCGTTGTTGCGACAAATGAAGGCAGTGTCGGTGGTTAAAGACGGTGACGGTGGAAAGCGGTGGGTGGTGGTGAAATTCGGTGGCAGTGGTGGTGGTGGAAGGCAATGGTAATGGCGGAAGTCGGTGGTGGTGGTGAAAGGTGAAGGTGATTTGTGGTGGAAGATAATGGCATGCAGTTTTTGGACTTAGAACATAAGGGTATTTTTGGGAAGTTACTTTTTTTTTTAGAAAAATAAAAATTACTCGGGATTAGAATGGCCATTAGGTTTTGTTATGAAATGGGTTTTTATTCTTAGGAATGGATTTCATTCCAACTTTAAATTGCATACCAAACAAAAAAAATAGTTAAAATGGACATTCCATTCCATTCATGCATACCAAACATGGCATTAATTTTTCTCCCCATCCCTACCTTTTTCTTTTATAACTCCAATATTTTCCCTTCTCTCTCTCTCTCTCTCTCTCTATATATATATATATATATATATATATATAGTGATCTCTCCTCATTATTTTTTCCCCTTTACAGTAGAGAAAATGGATTTACATTAGCTATTAAAAAATAAATAAATCATCCTTAGAGAAAATGGATTTAAATAAGCTATTATTTCATCTAATGAAGTGGGCAAAAATATATGTTTAAGTGTGAGTGTTTTTTGCCAAAGACAAAAAAAAAAAAAAAAAAAAAAAAAAATAATAAATCAACCTTACAAGATATAGAGAAAATTAAATTGCATTAGCTATTATTTCACCTAATGAAATGGGATTAGAACTTGTATTAAATCAGCTAAAGAATTTTTCGGAATTAATTATTTCTTATGTATACGACCAAAACAATCAATTCATATATAGTAGGTTCAAATAATTCAAACGATATGAAAATAATTTTGTTTTTTTCTTTTTTGTTTAATTTCAAGAAGTTAAAATAATTAGATGACGATAATTTGAGAAAATATTTAATTTGAAACTCTTTCTAAAACATGATGTGTCTCATCATATTAATGATTTAAATTTATTTTCACTATTAAAAGTTAAAAAAAAAATACAAATAGAAACAAATATTATAATTGAAACATTAAATTACATAAATTGTCTAGATAATAGAGAATAGTTTAAACAATACATGTAAGCTATCGCTGCAAAAAAAGTTTATAAAATATTAAAGATGATAAAATTGTACCTAAGATCAACTATATCAAAAAAGGAAAAAAAAAAGAAAAAGACTAGAGATTTAATTTATTGTAAAAAATCAAAGTATATCGAGTGGTCCCTAAATTAGAAGAGGGCTGGTTCAATGAACTTTAAAAAGGCATTTAAAGTCTTGGTCCGCTAGTAGTCCAAACGAACTTTAAAGAGGCATTTAAAGTCTTGGTCCACTAATAGTCCAAATGCTTCAAGGAAACTTCAAAAGTTAGAC